TGTGTGTGTGTGTGTGTGTGTGTGTGTGTGTGTGTGTGTGTGTGTGTCTGAATAGGAAGGATGCAATTAACTTAGAGGATGTCATTACAGAGCTGGAACATGAGACACTTTGCAGAAGCAGCCTCGATAGCCCACCTGAATCCACACACACACACACAGTCATGCTTTCATGACTTTCGGGGACATTTCATTGACTTACATTCATTTCCTGGAGACTTACCCTCACCTTAACCTTGACCTTAATCTAAACCTAACTTTAAACCACGTTTTCACCCTAAAATTAAATATTATTTATGGGGACGTGCAATTGTCCTCACTGTGTCCCCAAAGAATGTGAGTCCCCACAATGTCACCGTGTAATCAGATTTATGTCCTCACACACACACACACACACAGAAATACTCTAACTTGCAGACACATATTTGTGAGGACCCCGCCTTAAATATAGCTCTTAGTTAAAGGGCCAGTGTCTATTTGCAGGAATGGAATATAATATTCACGACTTAATACTCATGTATTCATTCACACTCAAGTATTCATATGTTTTAATTAGTGAATAACCAACTGAAGCTAAGAACCGTTGGGTTTTCGTTAGCTTAGAATGAAATCTTCATCCTACATAGGGAGCAGGTCCTCTTCACAAAGTCCTGCACACTGTCCCTTTAACCCTAAAACCAAGTCAGACCGTCCTTTGAGGAAGTGGAAGATCGGACAAAATGCCCCCACAAAGAGTTATACTCTAATTGGTCCTCACACAGACATCAGTTCAACAGTACACACACACACACACACACACACACACACACACACACTAAGTGAGACAGCCCTGAGAAGACAGGGACAGGTAATTATGTGAGTTTGTTTCTTGGAGGTGAGCACATCTCATTATGAAAACATCTTACGTCCCCCAGAGACACGATATCATTCACGTTCCTAATGGGGACACGGAAACAAGTGAGGACTTTCCTCAGGCTGCAAACCTGCATTCATAAATATGGTCTCACTTATTACAAACAATCAATATTAAACTACATTAAGTCTCATGTTTTATTAAAGCCGTAACCTCTAATCTTTACTGCTCCAACACTTAAATAATCCAGATTAACAACTTTAATACTTTTGGGTGTTTAGTCTTTCTAACTACGTGATTCCAAAAGTCCCCAAAAGGATATATTTATATAGGAATAAATTAAACTTATTTTACTGGAATCAGAGCAGCAGGAACACAAATACTTCTGACATAAACCAGCTTCTGCTTTATGAACATCCGTAGAAATGTCAAGACAAAATAACCTAAGTAAGTAAATATGACTTCACTTTGTATCAAGAGGTTCTAGTCGGCGTCTTCAGACAGAAAAAACCCAATTAACTAAAGTGTTGCTGCGTCCCGGGGGAAACTCATTAATACCGATTCACAGAGCAACCTTGAAGGGTGAAGAGCACCAAACAACAGACGAAAAGCAAGCAAGCAAAACATTCTTTTAAGCAAGAAAAATAATTTATTCATAATGATATAATAATTTCATCACATTGGCATTGCGGAGCTGCGAAAGGGAGGCGTTTTGTGTGTGACGCCACCTCGCAGCTACGCCGTCACGCCACTGGATGGGGCGGGGAGACAAGAGGTTATTCAATACATACACGGAATATTCCTTTAAATATGTCTTTTTTTTCAAGGAGGAATAACAAAAATAGAATAATTCCAATAACTCTGTCTTTCTCTCTTTCTCTATATCTCTCTAATTATCATCTCTACGTCTTTATAAGCTGCCCTGTACAGCTCCCTGAAGTGGGGTTAGAATTGGGTTTTGGGGGGGGGGGGGGGGGGGGGGGGGGG